AATTAGCATAAGGCCCGGCTATACTACTCCTGTTCATGGCAAGAAAACAGAACCAACATAAAAGTCCATCAACAGATGAATGATAATGAAAATGTGGTGTGTACACAAAATGGAATGTTAAAATAGAATGTTAAAGCTACAAAGAAAAGTGAAACCTGTGGGAAAATAGATGGACCTGTACGTTCAATAGGAAGGGAGTGACCCAAAGTCAGAAAGGAAACAAACCCACCTCATGCTCTGCCTGCTGTGCAGATCCCAGCCTATAACACATGTAAGTGTGGCTGTAGCCTAAAACTTAGAGAGGAGACAGGGAAAAGGTAATAGTCGGTGAGGAGGAAGGACGGAATGTGTAACAGGACACAGAGTCATGAAAGGATATTAAGTTAATTTTTTTCTAGTCAACTCCATCACAGTTTTTTTTTTTCATGGTGGAGATTACAGATTCACCTTCCTGGATATTGAAGTATCCAGACCCACCTTTGCATCCAAAAGAATCTAGTGGGTGCTATTCCTCTGAGGCAGTGACTGGGAACACTGGGCGTCTCTCTAATTCATTGACCATTAGTGAAATGGTATTTAGACACACTGGTCACTGAATACTTTTGTCGCACCAATCCACTTAGAAAAAAAGTGATTTTAAAAATTGCTTTGAGGGGAGGAGTTTTGTACTCTGGAATATTTCCCGTTTCCCTTCTTTTTAAAATTACATCGAACTGTCGGCTGGTGGTGGCACATGTCTTAGGCAGATCCCTGCAAGTTCATGGCCAGCCTGGTCTACACGGAGAATTCCAGGACTTGGCTGTCCTGGACTCACTGAGACCAGGCTGGCCTCAGACTCACGGAGCTCCGCCTGCCTCTGCCTCTGGAGTGCTGGGGGCTTAAAGGTGTGTGCCACCACGTCCAGTTGGTTTTTCTTTTTTTAAAAGCAAAAACAAAAATAAAAGAAACGACAACAGGATGGCTCAAAAAGGGCAAAGGGGCCTGCTACACAAGCCTGGTGGCCAAGCTTGAGCCCCAGTACCTGTGTGGTGAAGGAGAAAATCTGTTCCTGATAGTTCCCCTCTCACTATCACACATACACACACACACACACACACACCCCAAATATAATAAAAATAATAAATATATACTTCTGGCTATTAACCATTCACCCAAAATGAATAACAAAGTTTTCCCCATTCTGTGGGGCACCTCTTTTGTTTGTTGAGACAGTCTTACTCTGTAGTCCAAGCTGGCCCAGTGCTGGCGACGTAGACCTTAAAACTCCCTGCTTTGGCCTCTGGAGCGGTGAGACTGCAGATGTGGGTCACCACGCTCAGCCTTCTCGCTCTTTTATTTACGTGATGCGTCTTTTTCCCCTCTACCCACACTCAATCATAATCTGTGTCTTCATACTTATAGTGATCTTTTCTAGAAAGTTGAGCTCCTTACGTTGTTAAGAATGACCTCAAACTCCTGATTCTCCTGCCTCCACTTCCCAAGAACGGAGATTACAGGCGTGTAATCTCGCTCAGTTTTATTCTTGTCTTCCTCCCGCCTCTTTCGCTGAGGCATCTAGGAATCTCTGGCTTTTAGGTGGCATCTGTGGCGGAAGCCCCAGGTAGACAGACAAAATGCTTACGGATTCTTATTTAAATATTTTATCGTTGCTGAGAGTTGAGGCATGAGCCTTGCTGAATCATTATGTTTTGTTTGTTTGTTTGTTTGTTTGTTTGTTTGTTTGTTTTTGGATACGTAAGCAAACCCCAGGAATGATCAACTGGATTTTCTCAGCATTTTGGAGGCGCCAGCCATGGAGGCAAGTGTGGTACTTTTTGGGCCCTCCGTGGCCATGGAAAGAGTCACTGCAGAGCCTCTGCTCCTGGACAGCCCCTAGGATCCTGCGATAGGACCGAACAGGTCTTTCTCTGGGTTGTAAAATGCTGCTTCACCCGACCCCACAGCAACACTCAAGCATGAAGGTCTACATGCCCTTCAGCAGACACAGCAAATACGTTGGTGACCATGTTGTGCTCATGCTGGTAGAGGGTAATCAGGAGGGGTGTTGTTTTGATGTGTCCTAGATAGAAGTAACTAGACAGCCGCTCTCGGTCCATGAAGCCACACATCCTCAGGAACAGGAATGTCACTTGGGGTGTTTGGGAGCCACAAGTAGTCCCAGGAGACATAGCAATGAGTATGAGATGGGGGCCAGGTAGAAGAGTGGAGAAGGTTGGCACTGGGGCCGGGTGGTAGATGCCAGGTCAGTGAGCGCTGGGCACATGAGTTGATCACACGGTGCCTGCCTGGCTCCCAGGATGTGGTCCTCAGAAAAACAACATTATGATCCAACCCATTTGGATTACACCAGGTCAAAGATGAACAACTGTGGGCGTGATGGCACATGGGAGCAGAAGCAGGTGTTTCCTCTGAGTTCCAGGTCAGCCAAGGCTACATAGTGAGATTCTGCATACCCCCCCCCACATATGTGTGTATATTAACAAGAAACACTTAATACAGACCAATAACAAAATAAAACATAAACAGCATCCTGCACATGGGACTTAGAGCTAGGTGCCAGATACATTTGGGTTCTGTTTGCTATAGGGGAACTGGGGTTTCAGGCATCTGCAATCACATCCAGTTTTGCACAGGTTCTGGGGATCCAAACTCAGGCCCTCATGTTTACACAGCAACTGCTTTACCCACCAATCCATCGCCTGTGCACAGTCGGAAGAGGAAAAATGAGGCTACGTGAGTCATGAGGGCTTGTGGATGAGGAGATCAGGCAGAAGTTTTTGTAGTCACTCTGCATAGAAGACAGCCTTCATGAACCTGCCTGGGGACTCAGGAAGCATCCTAGGCAGGCTGGAATATTTGTGAGCTCCCTGGTGTCTGGCTTAAGTCATGTCAAATCTATCTTCAGCTAAACTCCCGGTATCCAGCTCTGTGTTGTGACTGTACTTGGCATTGGAAATAATCCTGTGATGGTCTGAAGTCTCAGCACGATGGGCTTGTCCTCAGGGCAGAAGCCCAGTTGAGTCAAGGATGAGCAGGAAGAGGAAGCAATCAACAAAGTGTTCTCTTGAAGTCCGGGGTGGGTGTTGAGGGAGGAAGAGAGTGCTGTTGATTCCCCATGTGCAAATGCAACAACAGAGAGATGCTCTGGCCTGCTATGGCATTAGACTGACGTATGTATTTGATGATAATGTCCACTGCTGGCAAGGTGAAACAAACCCCCATACTATTTGAGCAACAGACAAAAAATATGTATCAGAAACTTTAATAGGTGTGTGCTAATTTTGATCCAAAGCTTCACCTGTGAAATGTATCCACGACATTTTAAAATACTTGTGGACAAGCATAGGGTACTTAAAAAATTTTTTTTTATTATTTATACAATGTTCTGCCTGCACATGCCTGCACACTAGAAGAGGGCACCAGATCTCACTACTGATGGTTATGAGCCACCATGTAGTTGCTGGGAATTGAACTCAGGACCTTTGAAGAACAGCCAGTGCTCTTAACCTCTGAGCCATCTCTCCAGCCCAAGCACAGGGTATTTTATTAGACTGTTTATAATATTATATGTAATATAAAAACACAACTACGCTATTTAATATCATAGGCTTCGTTAAATAAATCATCGCAGTTTTATGGTGAAAAGGCACCATGAAGCCAGTTTGAAATATTTGAGAAGTATCATGGCAAAATGTTGGAATATATCATTAAGTGAATACATATTATTAAGCGAATACTCCAACTATGATCATTTTTTTTTTTTTTGGTGTGATAACTAATATACAAGGCAGAGAGTGTAGCTCAACGCTTGCGCATTCACTCAGCGCATACAAAGCTCTGGATGCAATCCTCAGCACAGCAACGACGACGACAAAATGCACACACACGCACACACACATACATACACAACTCTCCCTGCCTCCAGCATTGCTACCCAAGTCCATCCTTCTCACTCCAACCCACACTTGCAACCCACACTTCACTAGCTTGGCTCCGTCTCACCTAGTCACTTTCAGTGGCCGCTTGGCACCATCCATTTGACTTTATGGGGCTCTGAAGCGGTATGGAAAATGGCCTGCTGGTTTGGTTACAAGAGAGTCTAGTGTGTGCTTGAGGCACAACTGAAAGATTACATTGAGAACTTGTTATTTACAACTTTGAAGGGACCGCATCAAGATTTTCGGTGACCTTCATTCATTTATTTGGGATTTTATTTTGAATCCACTCTGGAGAATCCATAATTGGTCAAAACCCTGTTGAGCCCTTCATGGCATTTCTCATGGGAGCCTCTCCAAAAGCCACTCTTTGCCGGAAGCTCTCTAGTTCCACTGTTGGTGCGACTTGAGGTAAGGTGTTCAATCTCTGTGTGCCTCGGTTTCCCTCCTCTGGCATAGCCCAGATTCCGTTCGGGGCTGTAGCAGCAGCGGGGTCCTCAGGGCCTGGCGCACAGACCGAGCGCACAGGGAGGCATCTGCAGGCAGCGCTCCCGGGAAGGCGGGAAAGGCGCCAGGGAGGCGGGGTGTCACGAGGCCAGACCCTGATTGCTTCTGGCGACCGAATGTGTGCCCCGTGCTCGAGGCACAGTTGGCACCCGCCCTGCCGGGATGGCCGGAACTCTGGGCTCGTGCAGATACGCGTAACTGCGGGTCCTACCCCGGCTCCCGCACTCAGGATCCCGCCCGACGCGGAACGACCCGCTCCAAGGCGCAGGTATCTGCTGCAGAGACACCGACGCCTCCGCGCGGAGTCCGGGGTGCGCCAGGGCAGCTGAACGGGGACCCGAAACACCTTAGATGGCCTGTGCCCGACCCCACCCAGACTCCGATGCCCACCTCGGGGCCACACTCGTTGCTCGCCCCTCACCCCCGACACCCCGGAGCAGTAGCGGTTCGCACACCCGGTGAACCTGCGCCCGCGCTCGGACCCGCCCCCGAGTCCCCATTGGTCGGTCCAGGCAGAGGCGGGGCTGAGGAAGCGCTCCCGGGTCTTGCCCTAAAGGCGGGTCAGGCTCCGGACAGCAGGGGGTCGGCGCTGCGGGAGCCCGGGTTGCTCTGCGGGGACCCACGGGGGGGTCTGCCGAGAGCGGAGCGCGCTGTCTCCGCAGAGCTGCCCGCGACAGGTGCGAACTCGGGATCCCCCGCGCTGTCCCATCCTTGCCGTCGGGGCGCCGCCAGATGCGCGTCCGCTGAGCGTGCGAGATGGACGCGCGTCCCGGGCTCCTCTGGCTGCTTGGCCTGGCGCTGTGCGCCCTGGGCGGCGGCCACCTCCCGCGTCCCCCGCACGTCTTTCCCCAGCGTCGCCTGGGAGTCCACGAGCGCCGCCACATGCAGCGCGAGATCCTGGCGGTACTCGGGCTGCCGAGGCGGCCCCGGTCCCGAGTGCCACCCGCCGCTGCGAGGCAGCCAGCGTCCGCGCCCCTCTTCATGCTGGACCTGTACCACGCCATGGAGGATGGCAGCGGCCGGTCCCCTCAGCCTCACCTGGACCGAGCTGACCTGGTCGTGAGCTTCGTCAACATGGGTGAGTGGTGGGGAGGGACCCAGGGTGGTTTCAACCTCCACGTGGAGGGCGCATGGCCGCCTGTCTGGGGAGGCTGTCCTCCTGGAGTGTGAGGAGCCTGGCACGGGGAGTCGCCGTGCGGTAGACCCGACCGCAGGGAAGCGAGGATTGCAGGGGTCAGGACTGGAAGGTCTGAGGACTAGTTCAGCCCCCCCGCCCCCGCCTTCGCCCACCATGACGCTCAGGAGTGGAAATCTGGTGATGCCCAGGTCCCCTAGGTGGCACCGGAAGACAGTCATTCTGGGGAGACGATGAGTAAACAGAGGCTGTGATGCTGTCCTTGTGATAAAAGCAGCCCTGAAGAGAGGGACAAAGTTCAGTGTGGAAGCCTGTGGTCATATCATCAAAGTGACCAGAGCTGACCCTCGCGCCCTGACAGCGGGCTCCTTCTGTGCAGCAGGAAGTGGGTGGGCGGGGTGCACTGTCAGGAGGTGGAGTGGACACACTCAGACCATGACTGTAGCCTTGTGGGCCTGGCCCCCAGAGGCTGGACCTTGCCCTGGCATGGAGAGTGTACAGGCCAGTGAATGACCCAGCAGCATTCTCCCAAAGCCTGGCTCCTCCTTTCTCCAGGTGTCTCTTGACCTCAGGACCACTTTTCCCTACTAGTCTTAAGGTTTTTTTTTTTCCCAAAGCCTTTATCTGTAGTCATGAGCACGTACTTTCAGTCAGGTCCTCACCTGCTTTGCTCCTATCTGCCACAGACAAGCCTGGGGCTGGGCTGGGGCCGGGTACTAGGGAAAGGCAGCAGGGAAACAAGGGACCTTGCCATGGCCACCAGCCCCTTGTACCCACTGTATTGCTCATCCACCCAGCAGCGTGCGTTATTCCCCAGGCAAGGTCAGGAAGGCAGGGGCAGCCTGGAAACAGCCTGATAAGGCCCAAGCTGCATGACTCTGTCCAGTGCTGAGCTTTGTGAATTCCTTCCAGGGTAAGGAGGGCTTTCTAGAGTAGCAGCATAGTCTTACCGTGTCCTCACCCACTTCCTACCTGAAGGCAGGACAGGGGGACAACCACACCTCTGCTGCTGGTGGCTGAGGTGGGGGGAGGGGAAAGGGCAGTGAAGGACAGGCAGCCCTGAGAGCCCATAGCGAGGAGGGGTTGCAGCCTGTGGGATCTGGGTACTGCCTCCCTGCTTAAAGACCAGGCTTATACACTTGGGACAGACCACGTGTGGGACAGAGCCTGGCTTTCCAGGCTCAGGACAGGCTGACCTAGGGTGCAGGAATAGAAAAAGTGAGGATAGAGTTGCCCAAGAATGTCCCCAGGGGCGCCTCTGATCAAAATGAGTCACCACCCAGCCAATGCCTTAACGCCCCTCCCCCAGCTTTCTCTGGTGGGAACTATTGCTGTGGACAGAGCAGGGCCCAGTACGGCAATGCACCTTTAGCAAATCTGGCATAGTTCACTCTGTCCAAGCTGCACATTACTCCCTTCTGGGACTCCTGGTAGATAACTAGGGATGGCAATGGGCGAGCAGAGAGGCAATGAAAGTGAACCGATCTGATTCCTGTTGATCCCTAACCTGCTGTTCAGCTTTGTACATAAGACAAAATTCTCAAGTGAGCTGGTCATGGTGACTCAAGCTTGTAAATCCCAGCGCTCAGGAGGCTGAGACAGGAGGATTGCTACAGCTTCAGGGCAAGTCTGGGCATCAGAGTGAGACCCTGTGTCAAAGCCCACATACAAACACAGAAAGAGGGCACAAAGAAGATATTCCCATGTGTCTGTGTCTTGCGCATATTCAGAATCTAGAAATAGATTCTGAAAGCCGACCAAAAGCCATGTGCCCTGTGCTTAGAATTTTCTTCCAGTCCAGAAGATCTTTGACCTTTCACATTCTTCCACTTGTTGGCTCCTAGCAACAGCATGTGAATTATTTCGGAATCCCTGCTTTATGGGCTCAGGTTAAATGGCTAGCCCAGGCCCCCTGGGCTGTGTCTAAGGCCACAGCCATAGTTATAGATTCCAAAATTGTATTTCCTACAAAGTCATGTTACCCCCCTCCCCCATATTACCCGAGTGTCCCAGCAGGATCTATGGAATGAAAAAGCGGGTCTTTGTTTGGTGTAGATTCACTGTTGAGTGCCCTCTTTATTCTGACACACTGGCCAGAGTGATTTTTACCTGGTGACTGCCGGGCCCTCATATACCTCAGATGCCTCCTGTTGGCAAGCCGGGCTGAGCCGGCATGCCGCCTGAAGCAGCAGCATCTTGGTGACGTCAGTGGCTGTGACACTGTGGCGCAGGTGTGACAGCAGACTCCTGTCCCTGGAGTCCCTGTGCTCAGAGGAGGGAGAGCCCTGAGCTAAGCTGGTAGGGTCAGTACCAGACCCAAATCCTGTTCCTCCCGGATCTGCCCTTGATCCCCGCTTGTCTCTACCCACGTGCCCTCGCTCCTGTGGTCCTATGTTTCTTGCCGGTGTCTGCCGTGATATATCAGAAAACCAAGATGCCTCCCAGCCTTGACCCTTGGCTCTGTCTCAGAGGTACCTGTGTGCTCACGGCCCCGTCCCTGGGCTGGGTGGCCTCGGGCCCTCCTGCCCTTCCCAAGGGTGGAAGGAGGCAGGAAGGACCAGCCGTGCTGGTGTCAGTGGACAGGCAGGTGCGCTGCTCTGGATGGGAGAGTGAGGCACAAGCAGCCGAGACAGGCAGAGTCCAGGCAGGACCGCAGTGTGGCCATCTGCACTGCCCTGGCCCCTTTCCCAGCCCAGGAGCTTCTATTCCCGGGGCCTCACATGGCCCAGGGCAGGGGCAGCAATGGACTGTGACGGCCGGATCTGAGGGGATGAGACTGTGTGGGCATTAGAGACCCAGCTATGGAGCTGCTCTGCCCCCGCCAGCCTTGTGACCAGCTAGACTCGCTCACCACTGACCTCAGGTCCCTTCCTTTGACTCTTTGCCAGAGAATTCCTTCATTTCTTCACTCACTCATTCATTCACTCATCTATTCCTCCCACAAGTAATCACACAGTACCTACTATGTGCCGTGAGGCCTGGCTCCTGGTTCCAGTTCTGGGGGGAAGTCACACTGCCTGTGTCCTTTCAGAGATGACATTCCAGTGGGAGAGACAGAGAACACATACATGAAGGTGGTGGTCACGGATGATAGACACCTCTCCCCACCCCCATTTGGAAGCAAGAGGACCTGAGAAGGGTGGGGTCAAGGGTCTTCTGACCTGGGACTCACACTGAGAGAATTCCCACCCAGATGCCATGCTTACTCTCCCTGTGATCTGACCTATCCTGCCCCCCCCCGCCCCGAGCCTCAGTTTCCCCCTCTGTGAAATGGAGAGGCTCATCTTAAGGGGCTGCCGGGGCTGAGTGAGATGATAACTGTGCTGGCCGCACGCCCAGACCTCCACTGGCAAGTACCACTGCAGGAGAGTGAGGCTCAGGGAAGGCTGGGGTCCTCCCGGGCCACACAGCAGCCTGCATCCCGTGCCCTCCGTGCAGCTGCCATCATCTTCAGCCTGGGGCCTGGACTGTCCCTAGATGCACTAAGAGCTACCCTCAATGAGAATATATGTTATAAGCAGAGGATCCTGTTCATAAGTGTTCCTGGATTCACAGAAGTTCCACGTGCTCGTTATATATAAAATTCAAACCATCCAAAATCAGGGGCTCCTACAGGAATCCTGATTTTACCAGCCGGTATCCCCAAGGCTCCTTGATTGCTATTGGCAAAAATTCATTTGGGCTGCTTTATTTAAAAATACACTACTATCGATTATATGTGCACATAATGTGTGCTTTGACGTTCGTTTGCACGTGGGCATCTATGTGCACATAGGTGCATGTACGTGGTCCGGGAGGGAGCAAAGCTACTTTATTTACCGCAGAGTACACCACGGCTACTCGGCTAGGTAGACAGCCCACCCTGCAGATCACATCTCTGCTACCCAAGTGCCGGGATTACAGGCAGCCACCTTGCCTGCTGAGCTTTTCACATTGGTTCTGGGGTCTCACGTTTTGCTTTCACGGCAAGCCCTTCACCACTGAGCCTTTGTTTCTGGCCTAAAGTTGTGTGCCTACAGACCCAGCAACTTGGAAGCTAAAGCAGAGGCATTTGTAGTTTAAGGCTTGCCTGAAAACATTACTGAGACCTTGAGTTCAAACTCTAGTACCTCCCCCCCAATCAGCTTTAACATCACCCCCTCTCTCCTGGGGTGCATGGTTCTACCATTGAACTATACTCGTGACCACCTCCATTTTTGGAAAGTCTTCATAGCTCTCAGCCTGACTTCATCCCTGAGAGACAAGCTCCTCCCCAGATTGAATGGTACTCCCCAATTCTTAGGATGCTTGGCCTTTTCTGTCTGTCAGATTTGGGGCCACAGTCAGCTCTAGAGAAACTAGGGCACAGTGTGCCCTAGAGAAACTGAACAATACGGAAACAAGCCAAATTAGATTCTCTGTGGCCCTCACCCCATCATGTGCCACAGTCGCTGTGTGTGGGTGGGCACACTGGGCAGACTGGCAGAGGGGAGGGAGGGAGCCCAGCAGGAGTCAGGGAGCACGGAGAGCAGCATCAGGCAGGATGGACGCTGGCTGTCCCCATCTGTGCGGAGCCAGCAGTGAGCACATCTGTGGGCGCCTCCTGACATCCCCCGTTCTGTGGGACGCAGCCAGAGGACGGTGGCTTCAGCAGGCCGTCTAGGGTCCTCGTGGAGAGAATGCTGGGTCACCTCCACCCCATATGCCACCTGTGGAGCTCCAGGGCCACTCAGTTCCACGGCGGAGTCTGAAAGTCAGTATCACCCTACCCTGAGCCCACATGTGACCTCAGCAGAACCTTTGCGCCTCAGTTTCCCTGCCTCTGAACCCCAACCCTGAAGACCTTCCCATTTCGACTCAAACTGTGCCCACCCTTTCCTACTGACTGGGATTCCTCTAGGGATGAGTCATGGGGTGGAGAAGCACACTCAGGCCACCTTCTCACAGAAGCCTCCTTCCCTCCCCTCAGGCAAGAGGGGATGTGTCATTATGGACCACCTTCTTGAGTTTCTTCTGGAGCAATCGCACCCTTGCTCACATCTCCTGGGAATTATTTTTTTACCTCGGCAGGCTTGATGTGGTGGCCCGTGCGGGTGTTCCCTTTTAATTTGGGGTCTGGAGCCAGCTGAGGACTGGACCGGTAATTATGTGTGCAGAGCCGTTTATGGAAACGGCCCGTGAAGAAAGTCAGTGCGGAGACTCGGCTGAAAATACCTCAGGAGTGAGCCTGGTCCTCACCACAGCGCCGGGGCTCCTGGTGGGAGAAATTCCTTCAGGTGCAGGATGCACAGGCCACCAACCTGAAGGCCCCACCCTCTTCTGAGGTCCTGCAGGAGACCAGGGTGGGCCCATCAGGCTTTGCTGCCACCACAGGGCAGTCAGGCCCAGCCCCTCTTCCTCAGGGCCTGGGGAGCCTGTCTCCACCCTCAAGGGCTCCATCAGGAAAGGAAGCAAATCTCCCAGCAGGTGCAGACATCACAGTATCTAATGGGGACCCTCTGTGACATGGTGCACAGACCAGCAGTAGCACCCCAAACCTGGGAGCTGTGAGTGATGGACACTGAGCCAGTGTCCTGGGAAGGGCCCAAGCTCACCCTCTGTCCCCAGAACACAGCGGCTTGATGAACAGGCTGCTGTAGGCCATCCATCCACTGGACATGTTCAGCCACTGCCCTAAAGAGCTCACGGTCTAGGGGGCAGCTAAGCCATGGGAGGGGACAGACCCAGGGCCTGGTCACCCTCCACCATCGAGGGAAGTCAGGGCAGGAACCTGGAGCCAGGAACTGAAGTAGAGACCAGACAGCATTGCTGCTTACCAGCTTACTTAGCCTACTTTCTTATACAACTCAGAACTACTTGCCCAGGAGTGGCACTGCCCACAGTGGGCTGGTCCTCCCACGCCGAGCATTAGTCAAGACAATACCCCACAGGCCTTGCCTCCAGGCTGGTCTTATGGAGGCTTTCTAAGTAACTCTAGCTCTCATCAAAGTGACATAAAACTAGCCAGCACAGGTACCTGTGGAACCAAGTACAGCTTTCTCCAGGGCATTGCCTTTTTGGTGGCTTCTCATGGTTTGGTCCAGCATGTCTGGGATTCTTGCACAGAATCCCCAGAAGCCTCTACGAAGCATTGCTGTCAGTACTACAAGTCTTTCCCGCTGACAGTTACCTGCCTGATTTTACCTGTTACTTTCTCAAAGGCTGTCCTGAGCATCCAACCCTCTTCTCTCCATCATTCTTGAACCTGTGGCTGTTTCTATTTTCCTAACTCCATCTACAAAGAAAAGCCATTCCCCAGATGGCTTTTTTTTTTTTTTAAATGAAGGGTGGGGAGGGGATGGTGCTGGGATTCAACCCTATACCTCACATATTTACAAGATTTTTTTTATCACCACTTTTTTTTTTTGTTTGTTTTTGTTTTTGTTTTTTTTTTTTAGATAGGGTCTCACTATCTCACTATCTAGCCCCACTGTCCTGGAACTTACTATGTAGGCCAGGCTGGCTTTAAACTCAGAGCTCTCTGCCGCTGCCTGAGCACTGGGATCAAAGGCATGCAGCACCGTGCCAGGCTTTCTCCCTTGTATGTTAAACCCCGTTAGTGCTAAACTTAACTGCCTTGTTCACTGTGGTGCCCCACCTGTGCAGAAATGAGCAGAGAACTACATCTGTCAGAGAAAGACACCGGAAAACTTACTGATTGTAAAACTTAAAAGACACCCTGAGGTGCTATGGGACTCTCTCCTTTCCATCCTCCAGCCTTCCACCTGCCCCTACAAAGGCAAATCTTCCCCCTAGCTCTCCCCAGCCCTGTGCCAGTCATTGCTGGCTTAGGTCCTTACAGAAAGACAGAAAGTTGTCTCTTCTAGATCTTTGAGAGTTCAAGGCCAGCCTGGTCTACAGTAGAGTGATTTTTCAGGATAGCCAGGGCTACAAAGAGAAACCCTGTCTTGGGGGAAAAAAATAGTGAAAGGAGGCTCCTTAAACATTCTTCCTTGGACATTTCTGCACAGCTGGGTAAGTGCAGGATTTGTTCTTCAGATTTGGCCTCTGCCCTGACCGCTGTGCCCATTCTGGAGCTCATGTCAGCTGCCATGCCCATCCTTTCCTCTCCTCACCTTCTGGGAGTTTTATAGTTGGGCTTGCAGACTCTTGGCCTCCCCACTGGCCGGAGCACAGCATTGTGCTCACCGCAGGCTTAGTTCACAGCTGCACCCCACAGTAAGCGTCTGAGGGTAGCATCCCAATGTACACCATCTCTCCTCTGCTGAGAGTACTGTTGTCTGCTGCTAAGACACCCTCCCATCCTCCAAAGCCTGTTTAGAGCTCACCTCTTCCAAGAAGCCTATTTAGAGCCCAAAACCCAGTGGGACAGACCTCTCCAGAACATGATAGCCTGTCCAGGACCCTGTGACCCTAATTTGCGTTTTAGTCCTTTCTACTCCAATTCTGCCCCCTTTCCTCCTGTCCCCTATAGGAAATGTGGGACCTATGTCCCCTTCTTGCTAGTACAGGGTGGCCCTCCCTTCCCCAAGGTCCTTCTGCTGCTGACCTTTCGTCTTTCAGGACACTGAGGGAAATTCAGGCACAGCCCTAACAGCCCAGCTCGGCTGTCAGATCAAGGGCAGGCCCTGGGAGTCCTCTGCTCCCCTGAAATCTAGCCAGTCATGGCCCTGTCCACAGGGTTTTCCCCTGGAACTGTGGTGATTTTCTGCCTTGGGACCAGTGACCACCTGGTGCTTGGCCTGAGCTCTGAGAGGAGGCGCTGTGCTTCATCTGTGGGTCCGGGGGCCTGCTGAGCACTTGCTGAGTCTTCCCACTCCCCCGCCTTTCGGGGCCTGGTGTCCACCCAGGTAGACCAAGCCTGTGTGCACAGCAGGCCTGGCCCCACCCAGGCTGTCTGGGTCCCACACAGGCCACCCTGGCCTCTGCTGACGACCCACCCCCACGTTGTCTTGCAGTGGAGCGTGACCGAGCCTTGGGCTACCAGGAGCCACACTGGAAGGAATTCCGTTTTGACCTAAGCCAGATCCCTGCCGGGGAGACTGTCACGGCTGCTGAGTTCCGGATATACAAAGAGCCCAGCCCCCACCTGCTCAACACAACCCTCCACGTCAGCATGTTCGAGGTGGCCCAGGAGCACTCCAACAGGTACCTTCCCTCTGCCCACATGGCCACCCCACCTCATGCTCTAGGCTCTGGCCAGGGTCCTGCCCAGAGGGTGCATTTCCAAGAAAGGAGATGGGAGCCTCAGACATGAGAAAAGGACTTGGCCTGGAACTCCCTGTCCTGCTACGAGGCTGTGGCCCTCAATAGGCCCCTGAGCTAGTGCCCTCATCAGCACACGGACACAGTAAAATGTCGGGGGTTGGTTATCAGCGAAATGTACCCAAGGAGGCCAGCCCAGAGCAAGCGAGGAGGAGGCTCTGAAAGTGCTCCCCCAGGCAGGCACAGGATACAGGCAGCCGTGCTCACCTCGACCCTTGGTTAATTGTTCTTTCATGTCCACAGGGAGTCTGACTTGTTCTTTTTGGATCTTCAGACGCTCCGATCTGGGGACGAGGGCTGGCTGGTGCTGGACATCACGGCAGCCAGTGACCGCTGGTTGCTGAACCATAACAAGGACCTGGGACTCCGCCTCTATGTGGAAACCGAGGAAGGTGAGGCCCCAGGACTCAGCAGGGAGCAGCCCTGGGGTTCTTGGGAGATGGTTCCAGGAGAGGCTGCCGGGCTAGTGCAGAGGGCCGGCACACTGGGCCGTGCTCGGCTTCTCTCTCGTTTAGTCATTTCTTTACTTATTGTATGTGCTGGGTATGTTGCCTGCTGGAGTCACGTGTGTACCACATGCATGTCTGCTGCCGTGAACCCCGGAAGTGGAGTTACAGTTGGGAGCTGCCACGTGGGTGTGTTAGGACTTGAACCCGGGTCCTCTAGGAGAACGTTTAGTGCTCTTAACTGCCGAGCCATTTCTCCAGCCCCATCTTGGCCTTTCTTGAGCTGTCAGTGGTAAGGTCCTGGACAAGGGAGGCCTTCCTGTCCCTCAGCCGACCTCCTGAGAGCCAGCTCTGGGGTCCCCTCCAGGAAAAAAGGCCCTTCTCTCTGGGCAGCAGGCCTCCACTCTTGTGCTGTAACCAGGAAGGAGGGGCGAGGGGTCTGCACCCCAGGTTCCGTCGCAGCTCTGCAGTGTTGGGAGTCAGTGCCGAAGCCTCCGTTTCCCCTGCTCAGAGGTTTGCCCTGACTGCTCCACTCAGGGGTTGCCTGGGAGCTTCCTCTGCGATGGGCGGTGAGGACAGAAAGGACGGCAGGGCAGGAGAATGGCCTCTCTGGGGTTCAGCAAAGGGCTGGGGGATAACTCGGAAGGAGAGGGGCAGAGAGGAGGCAGGGGTCAGTCTGAGATAGAGAAAACTGGCAAGGCGCTTGGAGAGTTTAGAGCAGTTTAACAGCAGGAGTAACAGGTGGGTCTGTGGCTTTAAAAGACTGGGCTAACTTCAGCCCCTCAAGGTGGGGGCTCTTAAACTCGCCCCTCCACCTGCACCCCACCCAGGGTGCGATCTCCTAGTCGCAGTGGCCCAGCACTCACTGCCTGCCAGCTGTCAGCAGCATTAACCAAGCGTTTGGAGTGTCCGCACAAGGCTCTTGAGAGACAGGCCGGGGATGGCCGAGGATGACCTCAGCAGAGTGAGACCCGCGGCGGACTCTGGCCGAGTCCTCCCTGCTCTGTGACGCAGCCAGCGCAGAGGTAGCGTGGGCCAAGCTCCCAGGGTGCGCCCGGCCTTTCCCTCTCCGTCCCAGACCTGGTAGCCTCGTGGCCCGTGGACGATGGCGCTGAGGCATCTGGCGTGGGCGCTCCCACGCGGGGTCTCCGCCTGCCAACCGCGGCTCGCGCTGCCCCACCGCCTCGCCCGCCGCTTCGCTAGCAACCGCTGCGGGCGCGTCTACTTCTACACGGACCCCGTGGAGGCGGTGGAGGGCATCAATGACGAGGCGACCGTCATGCTCGGGGGCTTCGGGCTCTGCGGCATCCCCGAGAATCTGATCTCCGCGCTGAGGACGAAGGGCGTGAAGGACCTGAAGATCGTCAGCAGCAACGTGGGCGTGGAGGACTTCGGCCTGGGCATCCTGCTGGCCTCCAATCAGGTCAAGCGGGTGGTGTGCTCGTACCTGGGGGAGAACTCGCTGTGCGAGAAGTTGTACCTGAGCGGCCAGCTGGACCTGGAGATGACGCCTCAGGGCACGCTGGCCGAGCGCATCCGCGCGGGTGGCGCGGGCTTGCCCGCCTTCTACACGCCCACGGGCTACGGCACGCTGGTGCAGGAAGGGGGCGCCCCGATCCGGTACGCGCCCGACGGCCACCTGGTCACCCTGAGCCAGCCGCGGGAGGTGCGCGAGTTCCAGGGCCGCCACTACCTGCTGGAGCACGCCATCCGCGCCGACTTCGCCCTGGTCAAGGGCTGGAAGGCCGACCGCTCGGGCAACGTCATCTTCCGGGGCAGCGCGCGCAACTTCAACGTGCCCATGTGCAAGGCCGCCGACGTCTCCGTGGTGGAGGTGGAGGAGATCGTGGACGTGGGCTCTTTCCACCCGGAGGACATCCACATCCCCAACATCTACGTGGACCGCGTGATCCAGGGCCCCAAGTACGAGAAGCGCATCGAGCGCCTGACCACGCGCGACAGCCAGGACGCGCCCGGGCTCAAGCAGGACAACCCCAGGACGCGCATCATCAAGCGCGCGGCGCTCGAGTTCGAGGACGGCATGTACGCCAACCTGGGCATCGGCATCCCCGTCCTGGCCAGCAACTACATCAGCCCCAAGATGACGGTCTACCTGCAGAGCGAGAACGGCATCCTGGGCCTGGGCCCGTTCCCCCTGAAGAACGAGGTGGACGCCGACATCATCAACGCGGGCAAGCAGACGGTGACGGTGATTCCCGGGGGCTCCTTCTTCTCCAGCGACGACTCCTTCGCCATGATCCGCGGGGGGCACATCCAGCTCACCATGCTCGGCGCCATGCAGGTCTCCCAGTACGGAGACCTGGCTAACTGGATGGTGCCTGGCAAGAAGGTGAAGGGCATGGGCGGGGCCATGGACTTGGTGTCCGGCGACAAGACCAAAGTGGTGGTCACCATGGAACACTGCACCAAGAACAAGGAGCCCAAAATCTTGGCCAAGTGCACCATGCCCCTGACCGGCAAGCGCTGCGTGGACCTCATCATCACCGAGAAGGCCGTGTTTAAAGTGGACCGGAAGAAGGGGCTGACGCTGGTGGAGATGTGGGAGGGCTCCTCGCTGGAGGACATCAAGGCCACCACAGCCTGCTCCTTCAACGTGTGCCCCAACCTCAAGCCCATGCAGCAGATCCAAACTGACGCTTGAGGAGCCCTGGCCCCTCCCACCCGGGCTGGACATCCTGAGCAGAGCTTGACCGCTGGGCCACTGGCTCCTTGGGCTTCCGGCTGATAGATGATATCTCAAGAGCAGATGATATCTCAAGAGCCGAGTGATTTTAATTAAAAACCCTAAGCCGAGCCTGTGTGTGCTGTGCCTGACTGAAGCCCTCCACTGAAACCATGGCGGACACTGGTCCCCTCTCCCGCTTTCTGTGACCTCCGCATACGAAGCTCCGGAGGGTGTCCTGGCAGGTCTCAGCGCCAGGACTGCCTTCATAGCTCAATCATGAAATGTACAGAAAGCCCTGAGGGCAGGACGACGTCGCCGGGAGCTGACCTGATGCGGTGCCCCCTACAGCTGCCCGGAAATGCAGGACTGAGGGCTGTGGACAGGGGGAACACTCCACTTTGGCCCTCTGGGTTCTCCTCCTAGGCTCTGGTTTCCAGTCCTAATTTCGTTTTCCCCCCTGCACCCCACTTCTTCCTGGGAGCTGCTCCAGTGTGCCTGGAAGGCAGGCAGGCGCGTCCTGCAGGAGGAGACTGGGAAAATGGTTGGTGCTGGTCCTCCTCCTGGAAGACCCACTGTGCACAAACAGTCCCAGTGCATGTCGGGAGAGGCCTGGGCTTAGCGTAGGCGGGGTCTAGAATCTCATCAGTGGCGGGCATGGGTTCGTACGAAGTAAGACGCAGTGTCCACCGACGCCCACGCCACGCTGACATTCTGTTCCGGAAGTCCAGCTGGCCTCCCTTCCTCACCCAAGTGTGGCAGCTCTGGGGTCTGACATTCTGAATCTGTGTCTCACAACTAAAGTGTAAGAAGTTACGGAGATGTGTGCGCGTGCGTGTGTGTGCACCCCGAGAACCATGTCCCCCCATGCTTTTCTACCCAGAGCTGGGCAGCCTGGTACCCCTACTAGTTAGGGCCCAGTCTAATGATGATGGGGGACAGGGAGCAGAGCTGGCAGGGAAGGTGTACGCCAGCCTGGGCAAGGAGAGCTCCTCCCAGGCCCGTAGATACAGAACTCTGGAATGGGCAGCCTCAGTCTCCACTTCTGCTCCTCCTCACTCAGGCCTCCACCTCGTGCTGGGCAGGGTAGAAGCTCGCTCTACAGCCGTGTGCTCCAGGCTTTGAGCAGTTGATGCTCTCTCGGGGTCTTAGTTTGTGAGACTGTAAAGTGGGAACCTTGGCTTAGCTGCACCCATGGGCTCTCAGTCCAGCTCACTTGGCCTCGAGAGCCCCCAGAGGTCCCCAGCACCCACATAGCCTGGCTCTGAGGAGGTCAGCCAGGGGCTGCTCTGGGTGTGCCCAGCAGGGCCTGGAGGACCAGTTACAGAGAAGGAAAACAAATGCGGCTGAGCCTAGAGCGCTGATGGCCCGTGTCCCTCAGCAGCCGGGGCTCTGAGACTTCACCGTAAGTAGCACGGACCTGTCCCTTGTGTCATTTGTGGGGTCTGTCGTGGTGGCTTTTGCCACCTGCTCACAGCTGCTGTCCTCCCAGCATGGAGCTCTGGGACCCTCTCTCCCCATCTTCGCCTCTCTGCCTGAGGCTCTGCTCTTCACCTGCTCCCATTTCACTCTGTGCATCGGAGTCTCTTCCTGGGGTGCACCTGCAGCCCCAACCCTCGCCCCACAGCTCTCAGCCATGGTCCTGGGATGGAGTCTCACTGGGCTACCCATATTTGTTGGTGGTGTGTGACATCATAGGTCAAAGGTTAGATTGATCTGAGTTTTGTTTTTATCTTTCTTCCTTCATTCCTTCCTTCCTGGCTGGTGGACACTGCGGTGTAGCCCAGCTGCTTGAAGGGCTGGCCTTTGAGTGGACTGTCCACCACAGGACAGTGGCCCTGACCTCTGTGTACTGAAGAGCCTGGTGGAGCGCATGTGCAGTAAACAGACCCGAGTGTGCATGGACATATGAGTGTCTTCTTCCGTTACGGTTTACGTTGGGGCTTGTACCTAAGGCTTCACGCTTACTGGGGAAGTGCTCTTCTACTGAGCTGTGGCCTCAGCCCTTTGGTTCTTTTACATTTCTTTCAGCACTGGTGGTGGAACCAGGGCACTGAGCGTACAGCACCCCTTCCCCTGAGCCACATTAGTGTCTGAGTTTGTCTATGCACGAGATGCACGTTTGTGTGCATTGGTGCTTGTGAGAAGTCAGCTGAACAAGGGCGCCTCCTCTGTGTGCTCGGTTACACAAACGGGCCACCCTCCTGCCTCATATACCATGAGGATGGACAGGGGCCACTGCAGAGCTGCCTGAGCAGAGCCAGAGCTGGCGGGGGAGGCCTTGCTCTTCTGGGCTGACTGCTGGGGAGGCCTCTGGAGTCCTCAGTGGATCTGGGGTGAAAGCCCCCTTCATAGGTTCCACTCTTCCTGGGGACAAGACCAGCCTTGTCTGGTCTGTCTCCCGGAAGCCCCCTCCTTTCTTTGAAGCTCTTGGCTGGCCTGGTGAACACACACTTGGCACTGGAATGAGCCTGATGTAAACTGAACCCTTAACTCTGTGACTGTTCTGACCTCTGTCCCTGTCCAGCCTGTGGCCTTGGTTTGGGCATCAGAGAGGCAGTGAATATCCTACCCTTGGACGAGCAAGCTTGCAGAGGCTGCCATGAGCTGGTGTGTCATGAACCACACCTTCTAGTCCTCAGAAAGTGCAGCTTGATAGGACTTGGGTGTTGGGTCACTGGACCAAGGGAGCCCCAGACCTAAGCATCCCCATCAGTGGACTCTGGTCATCTCTGAGTGACTATGTCTTGGGTTACAGTGAGGACTGAGTGAGGAAGAAGTTAATGGGCAAATCCCTTGACACATGTCAAATGGTTCCCAGGTCTGTCAGGTTATCACCAACAAGGATGTTGCGGCTCCTGAGGTCCCCGTCCCTGCCACCCCAGACCTGCTGGCCAGAGTTGGTCTCCACATGAGGAAACTGAGGTTCATAGTTGCCACGCCAACCCCCACCCCCAAGTCAGTCTCTCTCTTCCTCTGTCTCCTAGGGCACAGCTTGGATCCTGGCCTGGCTGGTCTGCTGGGACAGCAAGCACCACGCTCCAGACAGCCTTTCATGGTTGGTTTCTTCAGGGCAAGTCTCAGCCCTGTGCGGGCCCCTCGGACAGTGAGGCCACTGAAGAGGAAGAGACAGCTAAATAAAATCAACCAGCTGCCACACCCCAACAAACTCCCAGGGATCTTTGGTGAGGGTGGGGGTTGAGCGTCATCATAGGCCTCTTTACAAAGCTATCTTTCCAGTGGAGCTGAACGGAGTCCTCTGACCTTTGGGTTGTGCCTGGCAGGGAGGGTGGGCTGCAGTCTGCAGAGGAAAGCAGATGCTGGGTGTGCTAGGGTCCTGCTGGGGTATTCACTGGAGAGTCCGGAGGCCCCGAGGCAGCAAGGTGAGAGACCATGCCGAACACGCTCATACCCTGTGGTGATGAGGAGCCACTGAACACTGCTGAGCTGGGTCATGGCGTGAGCAGGGATCCGGAAGTGGAACTTGTGATTCCAATGGTTTAGTTTCCTGTTGTCCTTCATTGTAAATGTTCCTGTCATGTCACCCCCACACCGGGAGTACCCATGGCAACTCTGAAGAGCGGGACCCCTGAATAGACTGTGCACCTTCCTTTCCCTGCAGATGATGGCCACGGTTCCCGAGGCAGAGAGGTTTGCAGCAGGCATGAGCTCTACGTCAGCTTCCGGGACCTGGGCTGGCTGGTAATTTCTGCCTCTCCTCTGAATGCCACCTCTAGAGCCTGCTGTGCGTCCGGGGTGGAGGTGGAGCTACTGGGCCTTTATTTCTGTATAAAAGCCAAGAAAATAGAGGCAGCCTGAGCCCTCTGCCCAGTAAACTCAGCATTACAACAGGGAAACTGAGGCTGGGTAGGCGGGACCTCTGGCTCTTGCTGCTGCTGGAGACAGCAGAGGAGGGTGAGGTGTAGAGGTCAGAGCTGGGGTCCAGCCTGGCTTGCTGAGGGTCGCTGAGAGGGTGAGTACAGAGCCTCGGGTCATCCAGTGACAGGAGCTGTGCCCATGGCCGGGAAGGACCCACTGATGTAACTCCCCTTTTCCCACCACAGAACTCCATCATTGCCCCCCAGGGCTACTCAGCCTATTACTGCGAGGGGGAGTGCATCTACCCACTGAACTCCTGCATGAACTCCACCAACCATGCTACCATGCAGGCCCTGGTAAGTGTCACAGTAGTTTTCCTTGGACCTGAGAGACTGGAAAGGCATGAGGGTACAGGGAAGAATGCCACGAGAGAACTCTCTCTGCAGGCTCAGCCTGGACATTTGGTTTCTGCCCCTCAGTAGACGCTGGTGCTCACATGGGTGTCATAGTGGAGCATGCACGCAGTGCATACCCGCAGGTGGGAGCCTGTGGGCTTAAGTGGGGCTCAGACTAACACAATACGTCTCTGTGGTCAGGCTGAGGCTGCACACAACCGATGGAGTGCCCACTGGGGCCTGCATGACCGGACATGTGCCCTGTGGACCCTGGTAGATCTCGCCCCCTGATGCTGGCTGGGTGGCCCAGGAACTCTCAGCTCTTTGGGGCCTTGTCTCCTCTTGGGCCTGTCTTTCCTGGATGTCTGTATTCTCAGGTTGTGGTGCTGAACTGCAGTCTGGGCCACTCTTGGTGATGGAAGAAGTTGCTAGCAGGAAGGCAGCTGCAGCTGCCTTTTGCCACATATTTGTGCTTGTAGAATCTGGTGCTGAAACTTCCTTCTAAAACATTTTGCCTGGAATCCTAGCACCCAGTGATCCTTGGCCTTGTGTTTACCTATTAGGCAGTTGTGTCAAATGATGCTCTAGAACAGTGGTTCTCAACCTGTGGGTTACAGTTCCTTTAGGGATTACATTATCAGATATTTACATTATGACTCATAGCAGTAGCAAAATTACAGTCATGAAATATCTATCAATGGAATAATTTTATGGCTGGGGTCATACCATGAGGAACTGCATTAAAGGATCACAGCATTAGGAAGGTTGAGAACCACTGTTCTAGAGTGGGTATTATGAGTTAACAAGAGCAGCTCTGAGCCATTATGAAGGCATCCTTTGAAAATGGGCACTGGTGTTTGCTGGATGCCTGGAGCCACTGTCCTGGAAGACATTCAGCCTGATGGCAGAAAGTGGATGCTTTAAAGACGGGTAGAAAAGACTGACACCTGTTTCAAGCTCAGTGACACTGCTAAACAGACATGGGGACCCCATGCAGCCTGCTTATCAGTTGCAAAGAGCCTTGCTTTTGAAGTTGCCTGTTGAGCCACATCAAGGGGGCGGGGTGGCAGAGTTCTTGAATTTAGTCATTTGTTCTGTGAACATTTCTAGCTTAGTCTGCAAGAGAGACTTTGTAGCTTACACCCAGAGCACAGAGCAGTGTGGGGCACTGCGGCCCCAGAGGGTGCTCCATCTCCATGGTGCCCAGTGCAGGGGACCAGCAAGCTTACCTGAGTCTCCACAGAAGTGGCTGTGACTGTGGACTTGAGGTTGGGAGTGCCAAGGCCCCTCCAAGCCAGGAGCCTGGGCTGTCTTGAGGGCAGTGGGCAGGGCAAACATACAAGGAAGGTCCTGTCCTAGCTGGGGGTGGAGAATGACCTTGGGTTGGTCAAAGGGGCTAAGACCTGGAAGGGCAGTGGGTGGGAGCTGAGAGCAGGAGGCTCACGTCCCTGCCTGCATCCCCTCCCCACTAGGTACACCTGATGAAGCCAGATGTCGTCCCCAAGGTGTGCTGTGTGCCCACGGAGCTGAGTGCCATTTCATTGCTCTACTATGACAGAAACAATAATGTCATCCTGCGCAGGGAACGCAATATGGTGGTCCAGGCCTGTGGCTGCCACTGAGTCAGGCCCCTCTCCCGAGGCAGGAAACCAACAGACCCTATCAGGGCCAAGGCAGAATGTAGGGTTTTCAACTCCTAGCTACGTTCTGCCCTCTTTCAAAGGCTTGGCTCTCTCCTGGCCCCTCTGTTCCCTTCCTCTGCCAAGAGCGGGAAGATGGGCCTGGTTACAATGCTGGCGACCTGAGTCCCCACGCAGCTGCCCTCTCCCAGGCGCATCTATTGAATGCCCTTTGGGATTGGCACAGAAGTCCAATTTACCAAGCTAGACATGATGACCGGCCCACCCTGCCCTGCATCTGGAGCTCTTCAGGGTCCATCAGCGGGCTTTGGTGTGTGCAGACACGATTAACCCTCCACTACTCCACAGCCTGTGTCTTGGAGGTGTAAAACGAGATTTCTGGGTTAAAAAAAAAAAGAAAGAAAAAGCCAGGTGTAGTAATGCACACTTGTAATCTCAGCTCTTGGGAAGCTAAAGTAGGATTACGGTGAGTTCAAGGCCAACCTGGGATATATATCAAGATCTTCCTTCCAAAAACAAAAACAACAAAGAAACCAACCAAACAAAACCCTGGTGTATTTATGGATCTGTCACTAAACCACCTGCCACAGACAGGTGCAGGATGGCAGCTGATAAAAATTTGTTGTGGATTTGACATCTAGATTCAGCCATTGTCATTAAAGGAAATGACAGCATTTTCCTGACCCATAGTCCCAATTTCTGCCCTGGTGCTGCCATCACAGGCGGGCACATAGGCAAACAGCCAAAAAACAAACAAACAATCCAAAGCTGTGTCCTGTCTTGGTGCTGGAGGAAAGGTAGCATGGACAAGGTGACCCCAAAACAGAAGCAGTGTCCAGGAAAGAGGCATTGCCCTTCAGGTACTCCGGGGAGGCACAGCTATGCTAGGCATTGTTGCCCAGGCTGCAGAGCTATGCTTGACTCCTGCCTGGCAGAGGACCAGTGTCCTAGGTCTTCTCATTAGAGGACCATGACTGTGTCTCCTATTGAGAACTTCGGCCTCAGCTATCCTGCCAAGGTACCTGAAACCCCCCAGCATGTTGAGGCTGAGGCCAGTAGGCTTCTCAAGACTGCTTCCACTGGCAACAGGTACCCCACACACACCTACGATGCACCAATCGGATGATCTCTGGCAGAGGTTTGGTTTATCAGTGCAGGGTTTGTGACACCTAATCCCGATTGTCAGCTTCATACCTGGGACCCTTCAATGGGGAGTTGCCTCCATCAGAATGGCACATGGGCACACCTGTGGGGCATTTTCTTGATGGAGGAAAGTTCAAGCTAATGTGGCCAGTACCATCCCTGAGCAGGTGTATAAGAAAACGGCATTCCTCCATGGTTTCTGTCCTGACTTCCCTCGACGGTGAACTCTGAAGCTGAATAAGCAAAGCTGTTCCTCAAGTTGCTTCTGGTCATGGGGTTTTATCACAGCAACAGAAAGCAAACCAGAACAGGTTCTTGTCTTTCTCTAGAGGAAGGTGTGGACACCCAGAACCTCCAAACCTTGTTGAGTGTCCACGACTGCATCCTGGCCTCAACTCTTCAGGCTATCAGTGAAAAAGGTCACTGTCACAGGAATTCATCATCTCTTGGCAGTTTCTGCTAAGCTCTTTATGCATAGCCTCTCCTGGTTCTTAAACCGTAAGTACTGTTCCCTTACTTCAAGCGCCTGTCTTAAGACTGGTTCCTCATGTCAAGGCTGACCTCTGTATATAATGAACATAGCAGGGTCAATCTGTCTGGGCCAATCTAGATGTTCCTGTGCAAGTATGTTCTAGGTAAATATTTAATTGAGTGGGGTAAGGCAGAAGGTAGGTGGGCCTCACTGAATCATGTTAGAGCCTTGAGAGGAAAAATACTGAGGCCAGGGAGGAATTCTGCCTTGGGCCACCCAAAGCTTGAAGCTTCGGCATCAGTTTTCTCCAGCCTGCTGCCCGCTGCGAAGACATGACAGTACACACACACACACACACACACACACACACACACACACACACACACA